GCAGGAGAAAGCACTTTATTCCTTTTCTGAATGGCCAAAGGTACCGAGCTGTTGTTTTAAGGTCTTTCTAGAATTTGTTTTTTTTTGTTGTTTTTTATGACTTGTATTAAAAAGCTGCAGATGTTTAGTACTTAAAAGTTTATCTTCCTCTCCGAGAAACATCAATAAGACTTAGTGCACCACCCGCTAAAGGCAGTTTCCTTTTCCTTATTAAAAACCTTCCTTTTTCTTTATTAGGCTACACATTGTTGATTTCAGTTTGTACTAATTTTCTGCCAAAAATCCCCCATTTTTATTTTAAGATTTTCACGATGCAGCCACAGGTTCTTGTTTTCTGCTCCTGATATCATGCGGCAATAGAAAGAGAGAAAAAAATTCTTTCTTTAAGTAAAAGAAAAACAAGAAAACATTTTAACTACAGAGGTACTTGCTGTCATCATTATCTTTTTATAGAGAGATTCTTTTTTGTGGCACCTTGTTGCTCTTCTACTCATTTTATTAGACTCAGATTTTTAATTTAAAGGAATGTATACCCATTCATGTCATTAGCTCAGTTCATTTGCTGATGAATTGCCCCCCACCTCCACCCTCCCGTAGGACCGGGTGATCATCAACCGCCTGGACAGCATCTGCCACGCCATCCTGAAGGGGAAGTGGCCTTGGCCGAGCGAGCAGCACGACTCTCCCGGCTCCCTGACTGCCAACTCCTGTCTGGCCAACAGCTTAGCCCAGCACCACCACCACCGGGCGGGATTCCTCCCCACCACAGCCTCCAGCTCCGTCCCGGGCCAGGCCAGAGTTCAGCAGACAAGCCCCGGACTGGGGTTCTCCATCCCTCCCCCTCTTACGAGACTACCTAAGGTGAGAACTTACCTGCGACCCTGAGGAACAAATCAAATGAATTCCCTTTGTGGTGCATATCGGTGTATCTCTCATCTGTCTTCATGTATCTCCACTGTCTCATGCCATGGTTCATACAAGTGGTGTCCAGTTTAAACTGCTAATAATGCTAATAGTGCTGTTAACTCCTTGATGGCTAATAGACAAAGACTCTGTTAAATGTATCATCACAATCAGCGGAAATAGGTTTTATATATCTCTTATCGGGTATACTGATTAATTAATGTATTTAACTGATATATATTCTTACATACATATTATGTAATTTATCCTTGTAAGGTTTATGGCTCATTACTAGGGATGTCACGATACCAGAGGTTTGGTAGTCGGTACCATTGAAATTACACGATTCTTGATACCAAAGTTGATACCACAGCAAAAAACAGAAAACAACAGAGGCTGCTGCTCCCACACTACGCTAACACACACACACACACACACCTACATATAGTCTGTGTACAGCAGTAGTTTTAACAAGATGACAAACTCATTGTGTGAAAATATTCATTTAAGATGTCAGTGTAATATTTTAACAGACTGAACAGTGATGACTGTAGTCTGATAATGTTGTGAATACCCCGCTCACGCTATGAGCTGTCGCTGTGTTAGCCTAAACAAGCTAGCGTATGCCTAACTAAGCTATCATTAGCCTAAACAAGCTAGCATAAGCCTGAATAAGCTATCATTAGCCTAAACACGCTATCGTTAGCCTAAACAAGCTAACGTTAGCCTAAAAAACAAACATTAGTCTCAACAAGCTAACCTTAGCCTAAATGAGCTAACATTAGCTAAAAAACAAACATTAGCCTAAACAAGCTAATGTTAGCATAAATAAGCTAACTAAAAGATTACCAATAGGCTTAAAACTAACGTTAGCCCAAACAAGCTAAAGTTAGCCTTTGTGAAGGTTATGTGTGGAGCGTTGTTGCAACAGATGCTAGCTCTTGCAATTCACAAAC